AAGCTGGGGTCCCTGTCTGAGCTGCAGCAAGCCGTTCTGCAGAGCACGGTGAGGAACCCTGCGGGGCCGTCAGCCTTGTGCTTTCCACACGTCGTTCCCATCCGGCATGCAATAGCATTTGAGCTCCCTGCTGTGCTTTGCTGCAGGCTGAAGGCCAGGGGAGCTGCTGCAGCATCGTGCACGTGGTGAGCTGCGAGGAGGAATTCCAGCAGCAGCAGCTGGATCTGCTCTGGAGGATTTTGGATCCAGGAGCTCACACAGCTTTGCAGGTGAGGAACATCCAGCCCTCCTCGCTGTGGCCCCCAGCATCCTTGCGCTCAGCTGACCTTCTTCAGTCCCTGCAGCGAATGCCAAGGCCCAGCCTCGCCCCCTTGTGAGGCCTCCCTTTCCCTTGGCGGCCCCACCATCCCGTTGCCCGGGCGGTGGAGCAGCCTCTCAACCCTTGGTATTTCAGCGCGGAAGGAGAGGCAGGGGAAGACTGCAGGGACACAGCTAGAACAGGGCTGGGTTTAGCCCAGTTCTCCTGCACTGGGTTTTGGTGGAACTTCTGAGTCTTTACCCCCCCAGCCCCAGCCTCTCCTCTCTCTTTCAGAAACACCTTGTCTGTGGACCAGTGAAGGTGACAAACCCCTCATCGCCCATTGGGGCCGACCAGTACTTCCAGTAAGTTGGTGTAAGGTACATGCCACGCTGCTCCCCACCAAGGCTCCCTGTGCCCTGCCCAGCCCCGTGGGAACCCAGGCAGCCAGCCACACTGCAGCACTGAGCGAGCTGGTGGCACACGGAGAGTTCTGCACAGTCCTTCCATTCTGTTTTTCCACGGCCTCAGGGCTGTTTCGAGAGGACTAGAGGTGCAAAACACAGGCCACAGGACCCTCCCCAGTCTCAGTGGCCTCCTCCAGCAGTGCTGCTTCTGGTCCTCTCAGTGCTGCCAGGGGGCTGCTGGAAGGCAGCAGCAGCAGGACGTGGGTGCTGCAGCAGTGCAGGGTGGTATGTCCTTGCCTTCACGTATTAGCAGACGGCCCTGGCCAAAAGGCAGAGCTTGTGCCCAGCCAAGCGGCTTCCTTGCAGCTCTCTCCAGGCAGCAGCAGCACAAGGGGCTGGCCATGGCGCGGCTGTCCCTGCCCAGCTCTCCTGGAGGTTTTGTACTGCTTTTGCTCGGCTGGGTCGCTGCTGCAGCTGGCATGCCCTGAGCAGCTCGAAGGCTGGGGAGCCCTGGCGTGCTCTCTGGGGCCAGCTCAGCCCAGGAGTGGTGGCCCTGAGTGTCTCTCTTCCTCCCAGGCTCCGTAAGCGCCAGATGTATGAAGCCTCTGTGATGAAGTACGGGGAGCTTGCACAAGGTGAGAGTTTGCTCTGCATCCCCATTTCCACTGCTCCCACAATCTCCCCCCTCACCTTCAAGTCTGCAGCCAGTGGGGCTCTCCTCTGTGCGGTGCGCCCTCCCTCCCCTCCACGAGGGAGCCTGGTGCTGACCTTGCTTGGGGGAAGGCGTCTAAACCGCCATGCAGGGCACCAGCACAGAGCAGCACTTGCAGATGGAGGCCAGGGCTGGGGGAGTGTGGTGGTCCTTGGCTTCCACCAGAGGGGGTTCCTGCCTGCACACTGGGGGGTGACACGGGAATGGAGCGAGCTGTGCATGATGCTACCTGTGTTCTCTGCAGATGAGGCCTGGACTGAGGTGATTGATACCCTCACCGTGGCTGCCATCAGGTTTGAGATGCTGAGCACTGCTCACCGGAGTCAGGTAGGACAGCGGTTTGTGCAGCCAGGGCAGGCAAGCTGTGGGGATTGTGGAGTGGCTCTGTGCTGGGCAACCTGGACTGCAGCTTCTCCCTGCCCTCAGATCACCCTGGACCTGGAGGACAGCAGCATCTCCACGAAGGGAACCAAGAGTGGTGCCTTCGTAATGTACAACTGCGCCCGGCTGGCCACGCTCTTCGACACCTACCAGCGGGCTGTGGAGCGGGGTGAGCGCCAGCCCCACAACTGTCCTCTAACAGCTGCCCCTGGGCTGTTCCTCACACCTGGAGCCACACCGGCTTCTCCGGGCACAACACTATACCACCCCCTTTCCAGGCACGTACCCACCTCTGCCATCAGCATCAGAACTAAACTACTCCTGCCTCCGGGAAGAGGTGAGTGCTGAGGAGGAGAATGCGGGGACCTGTGCTCCCTGAGCTCCAGTGATGGATGCTGCTGGCCCAGGAGGATCCAGCCCCCTCCAACACACGTAATCCTTTCACAGGGCGAATGGCTTCTGCTCTTCAACTATCTCCTGCCATTCCCTGAAGTCCTGCAGCGGGCAGCACAGCTGCCCCCACCCAGCAAGGGGATCCGGATCACAGCCAACACAGAGACAGTCAGTGACACATGCTGTAGCACCCGTGGGTGCTGCCCCAACGCTCCCAGCCCAGAGCACTGCTATGCGCCAGCAAGGTGCTGCCCACCCATGAGCAACGCAGGAGCAGTGCCGAGGGAAGAGACTGCAGCACCCCTGGGGCTGCTTCTGCTGTGCTTGGGGTGGGAAAGGGCTCAAGGCTGGCCACATCCCACCGTGCCAAAAGAAGCTCTCTGTCTTGCAGGTGTGCAAGTTCCTGATCCAGCTCAGCATGGATTTTAGCTCATACTACAACCGGGTCCATGTCCTGGGGGTGAGTCCGATGCCCCAGCCCTGCAGGCTTGTGGCCCTGCAGTCCTTCCTGAGGCTACACTGCAGTTACGGGGCACCTGGGTGGGGAATGGGCTCCGGGGGGGGCCAGAGCATGATGCAGCCCCATGACGGCCCCTCCAGGATGTGTACACAGGGTGCAGAAGCAGTGGTGCCTCTAGGGCTGGCCCATTGTGTGGCAATGTGGCCACCAGCCCCAAGTCGCTGTCCTTCTCCCCACAGGAGCCATTCCCTCACCTCTTTGACCAGATGTTTGCCCGCCTCCGGCTCCTGGGAGCAGTGAGGGACGTGTTCCACAGTGCGCTGGCGACTCTGCACCTCCCTCCTCTCAGCCAGATCTGAGCCACACTGAAGAGCCACACCGCAGTGTCACAGGCATCAGGACAACGCTCCACGAGGGGAAGGAGAGGGCACGTCCTCCCTGGCAGGGCGAGGGGCTGCCCCACCACCAGGCAGGGAGTCGGGGCATGCCTCAGCCCCATGCAGGTGCTTCCCTTCCCACCTCCCACACAGTCTGAGGGTTTGGTTCCGCGCACCGAGCTGCTGTGCCCAGCGTGGGAGCCGGGTGTGCCTGCTACGCTCACACCAGCAGAAGGGAGGACGCCCATGGCCCCCTGCAAGCTGGGCTGGGGAGTATGGGGGGAGATGGCACCGGTGACCAGTCCCCACAAAGGCAGGCACCAGCCTCACTTCCCTCAAAGCCATTTATTGAACGTTGCTCCGTGCAGGCAGGGAGCTCCTGAGGCTCGAGGCTCCTCTCAGGCCCTGGGCCAGGCCCTGATACCGGGGTGCAATAAATTTCTTGCTGGACAAATGCTGTGTGTGTGTGTCTGACCCCAACAGAGCACCTTGCCCCATGTTGGGGCTGGGGCCACGTGCAGCTTCTGTCCTTCCCTGTGCTCCCACTGCGCTGGGTTCTGCTGCTGCGCAGGAATAACCCACTCAGCTTGAGGCAGTACTGGAGGGGTGGGATGCCAGGCTTAGGCTGGCTAAGCTCATGTGGGCTGCCACTCCTCACCCTGCAGGGTGCTGCTGTGGAGGATCAGTGTCCCCACTCATTTCAGCACAGTCCCCAGCACCACAGGGTCAGGGCTGTTACCCAGGGTCCTGTCCCAGGAAGCTGCAGCGTACCTTGTGCTGCACCAGCACCAGGCCAGTGCTGGCCTCCTGCTGCCCTCAAGCTCCCAGGGACAGGCGTGGCATGCAGTGCCCTCCAGAGTAGGTTCCTATCTGAGACCAGGGCTGGAAAGCCTGGACATAGGTCCCTCACACCTTGGGGAGCCAGAACTTGTGCTGGGCAGGGTGGACCCTGATGACCCCACTCCTCCTCTATTGCCTGGAGAGCCATAGACTGGTCCAGGATGGGCCACATCTGCCTTCTCCCTGTGAGACCACCAGCCTCAAGCACTCCAGATGAGGCTCTGCTGTCCCCGAAGGGGCCAAACACACCCATCTCCTCCGCAGGGGACATATCAGCACGCAGGCTGGGACGGGCTGCGGTGACAGGCAGAGGATAAGTGCCAGGTGCCCTCCCCAAGCAGGTGGGGAGCGGGGTAAGCTGCACCCCTGCCCCGTTACTGGGGACCCTCCGGTGGAGGGGGCACAGAGGCGGCTGTGCCACACAGCATCTCCAGGCCCTGCCCGCAGAGCACGCAGTAGTACCGCAGCTCCCCCCCGGCCTCCGCCACCTCCCAGCAGTCCAGCTCAGCCAGGTCAGGCACGTGGAAGAAGGTGGTTCTGAGTGCGTCCAGCCCACTCGGGCCCCGGCGCCACAGCGTCAGGCGCTGGTCCACTGAGGCGGAGAGCAGCAGGTCTGGCCGCAGCACCCGGATCCCTGTTACGTGGGCAGCATGGGGGCAGGGCACGGGCG